AAATTACGTAAAACTGATGCTTATAGGCGAAGGAGTACTCATTTCTATAAAATTGAGTATTCAGAATTTCATCCTCTGAAAAGCTTTGTAGACGCCATTCAGAGTAAGAGCTAGCGGAAGTTCATTTCTGGATTCTCGCTGTTTAGTCGCCCAATTAAACATAACACATACTACAGTCACCATACTTTCGACAACTCCATTAAACCGTCGAAAGATCATTATGAAATTTGTTTGTTTAATACAGTAAACAAAAAGAGGAAAATTTAAATAAGACGTTAATGGACGATTAATTTAATATTCTTTATTGCTGGACACCTTAAATTTCAGCCCTTTGTTAATCTAACGAAGAGCTGCCGGTGTACATATCAGATGGCATAGTGGATATTCCTAAGAGTCTGTTCTCAACAGTCATATTTGGGACACGGCTGTTCTACATACCCTCGATTATGACACCCTCATTCTCCGTATGGAGAAATCACCACTGCGATAGTTTGGACATATGACATGATGTCATAGGAGAAATGCACAAAAAAAGCCAAGGAAGGGAACGATGAGACTGCCCACCGGTTCACAACAGGCCACGTAGTGATCGTGCAGTAGATCCCAACCTTATCGCGCTTTGCAATTAAGACCACTGATTTGTTCATTTGATGGCAGGCTGGAACAGATGGAAAGGCTTCCTAACACAGCTGCTTCCGCTATCCAAGAAAAATGAATGTCAATTTTTCAGCTGCATTTGCTACGGCGAACGTGAAAAACCAAGGATATCATTCTTGCCTGGTCCACAAACTGGGAAATGTCCATTCTGACTCAAAAGAGTAAATTTACATGGACGTATGCCCATGTTTACAATCTGATGTTGACTCAAAACAGCATATTACACAGTTAAGTGAAGGAGAGCAAGTACGACAAGATATCTATCAAGCGTCGACACACTGATGATTTATTGAGTGCTGAGCAGTGGTTGACAGCAACTGCTTCTGTTCATGAAGTGCTGATGAACGAGAAAGGCAAAGAATGCAAAATGGACTTGAAGTAGTGCTAGCCAAGACGACTCTGCGGATGCACTGATGTTGGACAACGTTTATCACGTCTAATTGAATAAATATAGAACCTCTAACCGTTACGGTTCCATTAACGCAATATTAATAATGCCCGATGGGCAGGATGAAATTTGCAGATTAATTTAAGCAAAAGACCCAGTCCTTATCGCGAACAAATCTGTTTCAACGATGTTGACCCTTGAAATTGCCTTCGAGTCTTCCGTGCCACATAGGAACAACGTTGATGAACTTGAACAACCGCTGATGCCGTAGTTTTATAAAAATGTCTTTCAGTGCAGTAGTTTTGAACAAATGATTGTTCGAAACTCGATGGTACTACTAGACATTCAGGATATTTCAAAGAAAACATCGTCTGAACTGGTTTTCCAACGATCTTCGTGATTTAGCACCGTGTCTGTCTCCAGGCCATGCATAAGTATGGAAGGCACTGCTGCTTTAAAGACGGTGACCTTTGTCTCCAATGAAATTGCTCTGTGTTTTCCGTCCAGCTTTCTAAACGTTGATGCCACTAGTCCTACGCGTCGGTTGATAACAGGATGGCGGCTGCCAGCGCTAGCCATGGCTGAACCCAGATGTTTGAAAAGGTAGACTATTCCACGGTCGAGTCATTCCATCTGATTTCCGTGGTGTCCATCGCAGTTGGAGTTTTCATAACCTTTGCCTTCGCCTTCGCCGTATTGCCTAATGATATAATTGCTCGTATCGTAAGCCTATCTCCAATAATAATGTGCTTATCATGGCAAAAAATGATTTCTGAATAGTTCCGATGGAGTAGCATATCAGTTGCTCCCATAACCTCAAAAATTGTTGAGCTGTTGAGCTTTAAAATGAATGAATGCACAGTATCAGTCCTTTCCGTAGTTTAAGAATGCTTAATGCAATAATTATTGCACACGTTACGTTGATATGTGATTTAAGGTTTATGACCACAAAAGCGAACTAGTTAGTTTTTGTGCCACTCGACATCCGTAGCTAGGACAGATGATACGTTCGGTGTTAACCTCGGAAATGCGTTGAACGAAATTAGTTAATTGATCTTCCCTAAGCTGTCAGTCAGCATATTATATACTAGATAAACAACGAGGTTTAAAACAAACACTTTTCTTTATATGTTATTACCTTGTTCGGCCAGGAAGACTCTGGCTGCATCGTCAAAGTTATCAACGGTTCCGCGGAGGATAGCAGCCACCTGTAAGAAGTCGCAGGCTGCGGCGAGCATCTTGTCCCCGGCAGGAGTGGCGGCGTTTTCCGTCGTCAGCAGCTGAGCACAGGATTTTACGGGCTCCAGCTCCGCATAGCAGATCTGACTGACGGCGAGAAAAAGAACGACACCAAAGGATTGGAACATTCTCACCATTCTGAAAACAGATAGCTTCTATCAGGTGTCAGCAAAATAGTGCGGAGATGATTTCGCGATTCACCAGTGTTCAGCAAGCGATCGATCTTACAACCATATAGAAGACGGCAGTGAGTAGCAAACATGGTCCTGATTTATATAACACTCGCGAAGTTCTCTACAGTATAAACGCAGACGTATTAGTAAAGCATATCTGGCTATCATTTCCGGATTATCAGTAAGAAAGAAATTGTTTGCAGAATTAGTTCCTCGCCACCGCCACAAACAACGGAATGAACATTCATTTACCTATTTGCTGCTCATGCCTGCTTAAGGTTTCCCGAAAGCTGAAACTTAACTTTCATAAGTGAAACCACCTTACGTCATTATGTCCTCTGTTTCCTGCTAAACAATACAATCGATCTTGTAAATCAAGAAAATAAACAAAGCGACTTATTTTGACGGGAATAAATAGAAAGCAACATTTTTGAGGAAATAAACAAAGCAACCAAACCTTCAAAATTTTACCTTCTCCTAAGAAATTCCTCTTCAATAGAAACATATTGAAAGCATGATATTTTATAGCATCCATTATCATCTACGACAACCTAACGTACAGCTCTGGCCGTTTCTTCAACAGACCATTAAAAGAGTGTCAACCATTGCTTAATGGTTAAAAATGACCGCCTGCGCAAAAGTCGCCGGAATACCTCATCGTGCAACGCTCCTTCTTCACTTGTTGTTGAAACCAGAGGAGTAGGAAGACTGTGGAGGACGAATGACGACCACTGCCCTTGACTCGTTTTATATAAGATTAAGCCGAACTTACGGAGTGTTGACCAGCATATCAATGAATGGAGTTGACGCTAGATGAATAATTTAATTCTCTATCCGACTGCTCCTCCTCCGCCATTCCGGTCGATACATCTACAGCTTATCCACTATAAATCTAGTGTTGACGTTTCGTCTGCATTGACTACTTGCGACGAGAAACAACCAAACTCATTAGCGCTCTTTGCTGCCCGTTGCCATAATCATGAGTGCTTCGCTTGTCAGGCACGCGCACGACCGATGTCGGCCCTTAATTCGATCACTCTCATTGTGTTTGTAATGAGGTCAGTTAAGAATCAGTAATCAGATGGTATATCACTTCAGCGAATAAACAGCACACTCTAAATTTACGAGTGATATGATTTAATGAAGAATGCTGATTAAGTTATTTGTACTTTCTTACTAGAGCGATTTTTGCCTGCACTTTGATAATTGATGGTCAGTACTAGACTTGAAAGTCGGGTGCTGCTGTACTGAAGTTTCGAAACCATTTCTGAATTTCATACTTTCTCAGTGTCAGTAACTGAAATAAGATTTTGGACGCAAGACTTCCTGACACGATGGTTATGGGCACAACGAAATGACATTGACAAAATTTACTTATTCTACATCGACGCCAGAGCATCGATCATCACGGCACAAACACAAATCGTTTTGCCGATTCATCTTCTTAATGCTAGCAACCATCCCAACGGCCAACATTTAACTAAAAGAATTCTAATTGTCTATGTGAAGGATATTCATATCTTTTGTTAACTTTTATTTCTAAACTATAATTGCTATAAATATAACACCGTACATAAAGTAATTAACGCTTAATGACAGGGTTAAACAAATTCACTAGAAATTGTGGAACATTTAAATGATATCTGAATGATGGCTGAGACGATATTATCCTTTGGTAAGTTACAAACGGGAAGACCACGCGTAAAATATTCTTTAATTAGAGACATCTGACGTTTCGGACCAAACTCGGTCCGTCTTCAGAGTACATTAAC